AATGCGAGCCGACCCGCAAGTGCAGATGAAGATGTGATGGTGATGGTGGTACACATGAGTGTCCGTCAGGAGAGAAACCGCGCACAGAGTGCAAGCCGAGTGATACTATGTTTTCTTGGACGTGGAATGCTTTAGCAGTCTGGGTGGCTGGAATTATTTAGCTTGTTCCTGCACGCAGGAAATGTTGCTGCATTCGTGTCTCGACTTGGGTGACAGTCCTTGAACGACGGAACTATGCACCACTGCGGAATGCCGAAACTGTTCATCTGCAGTCTGCCATCGACAAACGGTAAAACATCAGCCGGTTGTTTGACATATGAAATCCCAACACTCTCAAATGACCTCTGGAGAAATTGCTCGGCATTTCTAGCCAGCGACGTTGATTCGCTCACAAATGCCTCACCAGCGCTGACCGAGCGGAGCCCGTTCCATACAACCTTCATGGCGTGCAACAGTGTCCGTGGCAAAACTAATACTCTGTCGTTGAGCCCACCCCACCCACAACAATATTTTACGTGGACATTTGGCAGAAGGAACGACGCACCATCGGCTGGCACCTGAAACTTACTCATGGCCTGTGTGTTATCTCGGATGCTTACGATTGTCTGATACTTCGTGCCAGAGCTGCGTTCGAAGCGTTCAATCAAATTTGCGCACTGGGCAATATGAGCAGCTTGTTTCATGACGTGCAGCAAATTGGTTTCCCGCGCTTTCTCCGACTGTATCCAATAGCGAAATCTATGGAATCGCCTGATAGGACTACGAATGTCGACTCCTTTGGAAACCACCGACTGTTTCAACCTATCACCTAATACGCCGTTGATCAAGTCCTCAGTCAAGTTCGAGGACGTCAAACCAAGGAAATTTTTGTCAGACACAATAACATCCCCAGCGTCCAACACCACAAAAACATCGGCATTATTTGGCATAATCAGATTTTCTTTTTTGCTCGCGAGCTCTAAACGAGAAAGTTGCCCTGTAATGCACACTGCCATTCGCGACGCGATGCTTCGGCGATGTCTCCAAACTTTCTTGCTGCGACACTTTCAAACCTGACCGCGCTTAACAGCCCCTCAACTTGACTGTGTGTGTAGTACGGGTCGCCTGCACAAGGCTCTGTGCCGTCATCCATGTGGCTCCCGAAGGGAACGGATTTGTTCGACTTCTCCTCTAGAACAAGTTTTGATTCAGCACCAGCGGAGGGACATTTCATGGGATGGTAGAGCCTGTCGGGTTGCAGTACTCCTGCGAGAGAATCTTCGGCAAGCCTCGGCAAGTCAAAGCTCAGGCCATCGCTGTACATCCGCGGGGACACGCCTTTGAAACCTCGGAGGACAAACCTGCCCATACATGATGATGGCAACGACCTCATCGTGCACCAATCACTCAAACGGCATATTGTGCCCACTAGAGTCTCATGGTGGCCACGTGCACCGTGGTAATCCTCGAACTCAGCAGCGATCTTTCTTGCAAGACGCCGGGACATGCCCAGTACTGGCCATCGGGATTTTGTTATAATATTATTCAATCTGGGGTCCGCGAGACACGTCGTGGAAGACTTGGTTTTGCGAGTCGTGGCTGGAAATTTCTGAAGCCAAGGTAATCGACCATTGACATTGATATGGGTATAGCAACCCACCAAATCGACATGGGAAGGTGCAGCCATTGCAAACAAATGCGTCCAATTGCCAGTGTACACAACATCATCTTCGACACGCCATGCAAATTCATAATCCGAATTGGCGAGCCACTGAACGAATGCTGGCTTGGACAAACCGGACGAAGTTGTGTTTCCATCCGACCTCGACGAAAAACTGTGCCAGGCGTGACCGAATTCTTGCTTCTGCCGCTTGAAGATCAGCTCATCCTGGTACTTGGACGAGGCGAGTGCGGGAACCTCCTTCTCGGTTGCCACGATCACATCGTGCGAGGACGCCGTGCTCCTCGAAATCTGCAGAGCGCGATCCAGGCGGCAATCATCTAGCTGTCCAACTGGCATGAAGACCGCGTGTCGCCTGGCGAGCACCAGGGCCGCGGCCGACCCATTGCCAGCGCCGCGTGCCAAATTTTCCTCGGCGAGGGCGGCGCCGGGAAGCGCCGCCTGCTCCAGAGTAGATGCAGGCGTCGGTGACTGGGTACTGCGTGGGGCGAGGAGAACGACGGCGTGGATCGCCCTCGTGAGCAGCACCATCACGAAGGCGATCGCGCGCGCCTTCTGGCCTGCCACCATCATGGCGGATTGAATATGCCAAGCGAGGCAGTATAACACGTATTGTGTGCGATGCTGGGTAAAAGTCGTAAGCCTTGAACCAAAATCACTACGGGGGGGATCTTATGCCAGATTGGGCCAGATTCAGCCCGGGGTTAAGCCCTACATGTTAAGCAGCAACTATAAACGCTGGCTGTTGCAGAGCAAACCTCCCTTGACGCTGTTGATGTCCCCCCGAACTTGACAATGGTCGTTTCCATGGCGCCTCATAGCGCGCCCACCAGCGCGCGAAGCGGGCGCGACGCATCTCCCTCATGTGGCACTACTGGGTCCTATCAGACGCTATTTCAACGCTGCTTGGCGCCAGCCTTGAACATAAAACAACTGAATCCGCGCGGAGCTCCAGAGGTTCATGCGCATGTACTTTCTCTCCTTCGGAATTGCTTACCCACCCTCACGCCCTCGCGCTGCGAAGCAGCAGCCCCCCAAAATAGCAGAAGGCATGTGGCGATGTTCGGCCACCGTCCCAGCGCCGTGAGAGAAGACGGGTTCGGGAGGAGACACCAGTCCTGGGGGATGGGGCCCACACGAGCCGCGCTGCGAACAAAAATCACGACGCCAGAGCCCTGGGGTACACCTGCACCGATCAGGGCCAGGGCCCGTCCTAGGTGCGCGCGCCGTCCGGCCTTGCCGGGGGGGGGCGCGGGCACCGACCCTGGCGTAGACGAATAGACCAAAGCACGTGCATAAGCATTCGGAGCTCGGCGCGGATTTTCTGGCTCTGCGCTGGACCCTCCGCCTTGGCGCGCGGGGCGCGCCAGGGGCGGCGCCATAGGCCACGCCAGGGGGGCGAGAAATCCGCGCGGAGCTCCGAAAGCTCAACCTCACCTACTTGTGGTCACTTTTCTCGGGCCGGGCGAAAGGGGGGGATAGCAAAGAGGGGGGTTTGAGAATCAGCTCACGTAGCTGATTTTCCCGGCGCCTCCCGGCGCCGGCGGTGGCTATGCATCGAGGAATGGGCCCCTGGGTGGGGCCGAAACCAGCTGCGTGCAGCAGATTTCGTACCCCCCCCTTTCCCTATCCCCCTCTTTCGCCCGGCCCGATTTTCTGGCCACGGCGAGCCTCGGCTGCGAACAACAAGCTATCCGACCTGGATCTGAGAACTGATGCAGTCATTCCAGAGAACGCCCGTCCTCCCCCACCCCTCCTGCACCCTGGTCACGCCACGATTCGCGCCAGCGCCCTCCATCCCTAAACGTCATGGACGTCACAGGCGAATCGTGACGTTACCGGCCCAAGGAGGCGCTCGGGCAGCTCGGCAGGTCCAATCCGCGTCGAATCCGCGTCGAATGCGCGTCCAAGTCGATGTCTACACCGAGGCCGCGACGACATCGCGCCCGCGATCAGAAAGAAGCAGACGAGGCCCTCAGAAGCAATCGCTGTGGTAAGACGGAACCCAAAAGAGCACCAGTTCGGGTGAAGGTGAATTGAGAGAATCCCTGAGAACCCGCGGCTCTGGAGCTCAAAAAACTCCCAGGACGCTCTGAGAGCATTCCGCGACGCTCTGGAACGGATTCATCCTCGTCTGATGGGCCTGTTTTCCACCTCCACCACCATAAGTTGGAGGGGGAGGAGGTCCTCCTCCTCCTCCTCCTCCTCCTCCTCCTCCTCCTCCACCTCCCTCCTCCTCCTCCTCCTCCTCCTCCTCTTCGTCCTCCTCCTCCTCCTCCTCGCCCTCCACCTCCTCCCCCCCCCTCCAACTCATAGTAGTGGTGGTGGGAAACGGGCCCATCATCGTCCTGGCCGATGCTGGCGCCCTCAAAGAGGACGGGCTGGCCTGGGCAGCGCGGGAGGCCCTGGAGGAGGCGCTCGGGCAGCTCGGCGGGCCGTGCGGGGACTCGCCCCGGGAGCGCGAGCGCGAGCGCGGGCGCGCCTCCCGCGGCCGGGAACTGCCCGCGTCCCGCCTCGGGGGGCGTCCGGGAGGGGGGCGATCAGCAACGGAGGTGTCCCGAATCCTTCCGGGCGGGGCCAGAGCTGGGAGGGCCTAGCACACATCAGGGATAGGGGGTCTTCTTTGCAGATGCGTCAGACGGACAAAAACACATGTTCAGGGTTATCCCCCAAAACCGCGGACCTGATTCAGGCCACGAGTTCGTTATGTTATTAGGAGTAGGGGTTGCACCATGGTTAAGGAAAGGGGCTTGCAATCTGGGCATCCCAGATGGCGTCCGAGCAGATGAGGTCGAATGATCGGATCGGCGACGCATTCGCGATGCTGCCAATGCATCGGCGATACGTTGGCGATGTGGACCCCGATGCCTCAAAGCCATGATGTCCCCCCCCATTGTCCTGGCCCCCTCTCGGACGTCCCTGACCGCCACGAGAAGCCGCAGCGCAGCCGGAAGCAGGAGAGAATGCCGAAGTGGTCGCTGATGTGCTCGAAGTCGGCCTGTGGAGGAGGAGAATGGGATCGGAGGGCCAATCGTGACAACAGCGGCCCCAGCCGGCGGTGTCGCCCTTTAGGGGCCTTCTGGAAACTTCTCGTTGCAACCGCTGGATCCGCCTCGAAAAACAGGTCAGGCTGGACCCCGGAAGGGAGTCCCGGGACCAGTTTTGAAAGGATTGCCAGAGGAATTCTGTGAATGTCGTGTTGTGTTCTTCTAGACTTGGCGCCCAAAAGCGTTCACGCAGCGCCGAATAGCGTCCACTAGCGCCCACGCAAGGGAGATGCGTCGCGTCCACTTTGCGCGCCATTGGACGCGCTTTTGGGCGTCACGGGGACGACCAAAATTTACGCCAATGCAGTCTGTTCTTCCTTCGAGATTTGCTCGAGGATGGCCTGCGACGGACTGGCCTTGAACTCGTCGATCCACGTCTCCCTGTGCTCCACGAGCGAGGAGAGGGACGGCCAGTAGAACACGTAGTCGAGTCGCTGGGGGTACTTGTGCCGGGCCCTGCTCGGTGACTCCAGGGGGGTGTGGTTTGCAACGGGTGCGGCTTGCAATCCGCGCCCTGGGGTGGCAGGGAAGACCTCGAACGCGCGTTTCCTCCACGCCCCGACGAGGGAGCACCGAGCCTCTGGCGCAACGCAGTGCCCTGCAAGCCCCAGCGGGGCAGATCGCAAACCACACCCTGGCGCAACCACACCCTCGTGGTCGCCGACCTGTACTGCATCGACATCGGCAGCTTCAGCCGGGGCGGGCGCGTGCAGGGGTGCTGGCCCCACCCCTTCTTCAGGGGGCTCTCCCTGGTGGGCCCGTTGAGCAGATCCACCAGGTCTCCGTCGGGGTCCAGCACCTGCAGCATTTGCTCGTAGTCCTTGGAATCCTTGCGCTCCCTCGGGAGAGCCAGCCCATAGGAGCCCGTGGGGTCCGAGGGCTCCGGGATGGCGTCCACGTTGAAGTCGCCGGTGAGCAGGAGGGGGCGCACACGCTCGTGCCCCGCCTCCTGAACCAGCTCACGAAGCTGACTGAGCTGGGACCTGCGGATTTTCTGGAAGGTGTCGCTCTTGTCCCCTGTGTGAGAGGCCTGCAGGTGGCAGTTGATAACATCGATGCATTTCCCGCTGCTGCTAATCTCGAGCTGCACCCAAAGCGCACCCTTTGTCGCCCCACTGTCTAAGCCAGAACTCGACGTGAACTTGATAAACTTTTGCTTGATGATGGGAAAGCGACTAAACACTACCAAGCCCGAGTCTGTCCATTTCCTATCGCGAAAGAGATCAAACAGCGAAGGCTTCGGCCCGGTGGCTGCGAAATCCGCCAGACTCCATGTGGGCGCAAGGCTGTGAACGAGAATGCTGAACTGCTATATTGCTTTCTCTGGTAATTATGTCCTTTGTTTCTTCTCTCATGTCTCCGATGTGAGTGGCAACGTCTGTTCAGGGGGGGGGGCATCGGGCGTCCATTCCCTGTCTTTTTTCGGATTCGTGCGTGTTTTGTTCGCCAACTGATCGAGGATGCTCCTCAAGGGTCCTCGCCGAGAAAAGAATGCACACGTCCGAGCGATGCCCGGGCAATACAGCGCCCATAGATCGGCGAGAGACCCCCGACAGCGAAGCCGCGGGCTCCTGGGCGGGATGGGCGATGGGAGGCCGATGCATCCCCTCCTGAGCCTATGCTCCCCTAACAGTGCCACCTGGTCCTGTCTAGTCTTGTTTCTACCCTCGTTCGGGGTCCCGGGGCCCCGACTCAAAAAAAAGGCTTGGATGGGGTGTGGATCTGACTTCTGGCACCGCCCTGGCTAGTCTCGGGTTTGCTTCAAGGGCATCCCCAAATGTCCAAGAGAGCCAAAGAGGTCTGGAAGACGGCCCTGGAAGGCCTCAATAGGGGGCCTCAAGAGCCCAAGACGGACGACAATACATTGCCCCGAAATGCTTGCAAGATGGCCCAGCAAGGCATCGAGACGACCCCTGGGCCACTGGAAGCTACAAGCGCTGAATTATCCTGGCGACGGGTCCAATCATATGCAGATGTGAGTATCGCCGTTGTTGGTATCGCCTTCGGTGGATCTCTGCATGGGGCCACGAAGCGTGGGGGTGGGGCGGGAACGCATGCGGGCGCAGCCCTTGGGGCCTTCGGTGGCGCTTCATATGCGGCCACGAAACGTGTGAGGGGTGCGCCGAACGGGGTGCGGGGACCCTGCCGCTGGGCCCTTCGGTGGAGCTCCCTAAGGGGCCACGAAACGTGCGAGGGGTATGCCAGAATGGGCGGGGGAGGGACGCATGCGAGCGTCGCCACTGGGGCCTTCGGTGGAGCTCCGTATGGGGCACGAAACCAATGAGAGGTGTGCCGAATTGGAGACGCATGTGATCACAGCCAGTGGGACGCCGTACTGGGTGGCGCGGGGCGCATGTGGTCACAGCCACCACTGGGGCCTTCGGTGGAGCTCCCCATGGGGCCACGAAGCGCCGTATTTGGTGGCGCTGACGCCTGTGATCATAACCACTGGGGCCTTCGGAGCTCCCCATTGGGCCACGAAGCGCCGTACTGGGTGGCGCGGACGCATGTGTTCACAGCCACTGGGGCCTTCGGTGGAGATCCCCATGTGGCCACGAAACGCAGTACAGGGTGGCGCGGGACGCATGTGGTCACAGCCACGGGGGCCTTCGGTGGAGCTCCCCATGGTGCCACGAAACGCCGTACTGGGTGGTGCGGGGCGCATGTGGTCACAGCCGCTGGGGCCTTCGGTGGAGCTCCCCATGGGGCCAAAGCGCCATGCAGGGTGGCGCAGGACGCATGTGGGCACAGCCACTGGGGCCTTCTGCGGAGCAATCCTATGGGACCACGAAGCGCGGTGCTTGGTGGCGCGGACGCATGTGGTCACAGCCACGGGAACCTTCGGTGGAGCTCCCCATGGGGCCAAGCAGCGTCGTACTGGGTGGCGGGGGTGGTCACAGCCACTGGGGCCTTCGGTGGAGCTCCCCATGGGGCCACGAAGCGCCGTACTGGGTGGCGCGGGACGCATGTGTTCACAACCAGTGGAGTCTACGGTGAAGCTCCATCTGGGGCCACGGAACGCCATGCTGGGTGGTGCGGGACGCATGCGGTCACAGCCACTGGGGCCTTCGGTGGAGCTCCCTGTGGGGCCACGAAGCGCCGTACTAGGTGGCGCAGGACGCATGTGTGCTCACAGCCACTGGGGCCTTCGTTGGAGCCTCCCATGGGGCCACGAAACGCAGTTCTGGCTGGCGCTTAAAGCATGTGGTCACAGCCACGGGGGCATTCGGCGGAGGAGTCGTATGGGGTCACGAAACGCCGTACTGGGTGGCGCGGGGCGCATGTGGTCACAACCGCTGGAGTCTACGGTGGAGCTCCATATGGGGCCACGAAACGCCGTACTGGGTGACACGGGGCGCATGTGGGCACAGCCACTGGGGCCTTCGGTGGAGCTCCCAATGCGGCCGCGGATCGCCAGGTGGGGGGCGCGTGACGCATGCGATCACAGGCACTGTGGTCAGAATCATCATCATCATCAGCAGCATCATCATCAGCAGCACCAGCATCAGCATCAGCAACAGCATCATCATCATCAGCATCAGCAGCATCATCATCCTATTCATCATCGTCAGCATCATCATCAGTATCATCAGCATCATCATCATAATCGTCATCACCCGCATCGTCATCATCATCACCAGCATCATCACCAGCATCATCATCAGCAGCATCATCAGCCTTAGCATCAGCAGCAGCAGCATCATACACGTCATCATCAATCACACGAGGATCATTCTCACCGAACACCAGCATCAGGATCACCATCAGCATGATCATCATCATCATCATCATCATCATCAGCATCATCATCATCATCATCATCATCATCATCATCATCAGCAGCAGCATCAATTATCGTCAACGTGGGCATCATAACGAGCATAATCGTCATCAGCCTCATCAGCCGCATCACCATCATCATTAGCATCGTCAGCAGCATCGACATCATCACCATTACCATCATCTCCGACACCGGGATCATCAGCAGCAGCAGACTCTTCGTCATCAGCATCACCACCATCAACAAATCAGCACATCATCAATATCACCCTATTCATCACCACCACCATCATCATCACCATCATCATCATCGTCATCAGCATCGTCATCATCGTTATCATCAGCATCATCATCACCGACATCACATCATAATAGTCAGACTAGGCATCATCATCATCATCATCAGCAGCACCATCATCATCATCATCAGCACCATCATCAGCACCATCAGCATCAGCATCAGCATCAGCATCAGCATCAGCATCAGCATCAGCATCATCAGCATCAGCATCAGCATCAGCATCAGCATCATCATCATCATCATCATCATCATCATCATCATCATCATCGTCATCATCATCATCCCCCTCGTCCGCTTCAAATATTACCCATCCTTTCGTGCTCCTTCTCCTCCCACCCCTATAATGCTCCTAATCATCGTCATCGTGATTATCCTCCTCCTCCTCATCCTCCACCTCCTCCTCCTCCTCCTCCTACCTCTATCCCTATCTTCCTCCTTCTCCTCCTCCTCCTCCTCCTCCTCCTCCTCCTCCGCCTCCTCCTCCTCCTCGTCCATATCTCCCAGGGGGCCGCGCGCAAACGAGAGCACGTCGGGGCCTTCCAGAGGTCCTCCAGGGGCCATCCAGAGCACGATCAGCTTAGAGGCTCCTTCAGATGCCCTCCAGACGCCCTTCAGAAGCCCTTCAGAGCACGATCAACTTAGAGGCTCCTTCAGATGCCCTCCAGACGCCCTTCAGAAGCCCTTCAGAGGCCCTCCAAAGGCCCCTTCAGAGGACCTGCGGAAGCCCTTGAGAAGCTCCTCAGGGGCTCGTCACTGGCCCTTGAAAGCCTCTTCAGAAGCTCGTCAATGGCACTTCGAAGGCTCTGAAGAGGATCTCAAAGGCTCTAGAAAGCTGCTCGGATAATCTCAAATGCACTTCCGAGGCTTCCATAATCACTTCGGAAACTCTGAGAAGGCTCTTTCAGAGACTCTGAAGAGTTGTTCAAAGGCTCTTCAGAGGTTCTCCAGAAGCTCTTCATAGGCTCTGTAGAGGCTCTGCAAAAGCCTTTCGTAAGGTCTTCAGTGGGTCTTCAGAGGCTCCTCGAAGGCTCTTCGGAGGCCCGTCAGAAGCTCTTCAGAAACCCTTCAGAGGCCTCTCAAAGGCTTCCCATGGCTCGGAGACGCCCTTTAGATGCCAGCCCCAGGCGGCTTCCACTTGTCGTGAGTTTCAAGGAAAGCAAGGGTCCAGCCGGGGAACGAGCCGCTCAACCGGGGAACGAACATTCGTTTTGGAAATGGTCACAGGGGAACGATACATTCAACTGGGGAACGAACCCCTTTCCACCAAGAGGGGACTTTTTCTTGGGGAGGGCGGGGTCGGTTTGAGAGGCCGGTGTCTTGGGGTGGGGGGCTCGGTTTTCCGGGTGCTTCAAATATTTTAGGGGGGGTGGGCGGATCCGACGTCTAGGGATGCGTCCCAAGCAAGCGACCACGAAACGCGCTCCCTCGTTTCTCGAAGTCTCATTATGCAAACATCCCTTCAAAACACGCGCGCGCATGTCGCGATCATACCAAGCACATCCGTTCATCCGTTATGCATGACTGTCAACATAAGACCTTGCAAGCCAACGCTTCCACATGAGTTCACAGGATGGAGCTGGCAGATGTTCTTCCCGCGCGCCCTTGCTGAAATCACGGTGAACCATGTGGGTTCACGAATCCCGTCCACAACCAGCCTTATCTTCTAGCCACGCTTGGCGGCGCGCAGGGGGGGGTAGGGGGAGGGGGGAAGGCTTCTTAGAAGCACCCCTGCTTCTTAGAAGGCGCGGGCCCTCTCTGTAGATGTAAGGCCGGCGCCTTCTAAGAAGCAGCCTCCTTCTAAGAAGCCTCCCCCCCTTTCCCTGCCCCCTTCTGCTCGCCGCCAACACGCGGTGCACCCGCTTTGATCTAGCATTCGCAAGGTGCACGGATCCGTATCACATTAAACCGTGCGAGCCACATGCGCGCGCCGCCACGCGAGCGCGTGCAAGCCATTCCCAAAGCATCGTTTTCGACAGATCTCAAAATAGAGCTCGCACCAACGCCGTCGCATCACCGATGTTATCGTCGTCGTCAATCGCCCGCAGTGCCGACATCACCATCACAACCACCACAATCGCCGACACGCATGGACACCATGGTCGAACTCATCGTTAACAGCATGGGCACCGTCATCGGCCTTGCCGTCGTCAGCGTCATCCTATCGCTATCATCATACTTGTTGCCGCCCTTCTCGGCGAGACACCCACCCACATTATGCTGCTCGCGCGCCAGCGCTGTTTTTGACACGCGCTTGCAGTTTTCACCCGTACGCGCCATCGTGCTCCAACCGGTCGCTCTGCCCGCGAGCGCACGCGCACCAGCGCGGCCGTAGGACCGCGCTAGCACGCTCCAATCTGGAACTGCAATCGTGGCCGAATGGGCGTTGCCACACGAACTTCGGAAAGAGTGTGGGATATTTGCGCGAGCATTGGATTCGACGACTTCAAGTTCTTCAAGTTGGTTTGCACCCAATAGGCTGCACCATATTGCCTCCTCCTCCTCCCTCGTCGTCGTCGTCGTCCGTCGTCGGCGTCTCGTCGTCGACCCTCCTATTTCGTCGCCGTCGTCGTCGTCGTCGTCGTCTTCGTCGTCGTCGTCGTCGTTGTCGTCGTCGTCTTCCTTCCTCCCTCATGGTTGTCGTCGTCGGCGTCGCCGTCCTTCCTCCTTCTTCGTCGCTCGCGTCGTCGCCGTCCTCCCTCCTCCCTCGTCGTTGTCGTCGTTGTCGTCGTTGTCGTCGTTGTCGTCGTTGTCGTCGTTGTCGCCGTCGTCGTCCTCCCTTCTCCCTCGTCGTCTTCTTCGTTGGCGACGTCGTTGTCGTCGTCGTCGTCGTCGTTGTCTTCGTCGTCGTCGTCGGCGTCGACGTCGTCGGCGTCGTCGTCGTCGTTGTCATCGTCGTCGTCGTCGTCGTCGTCGTCGGCGTCGTCGTCGTCGGTGTCGTCGTCGTCGTGGTCGCTGTCGTCGTCGAAGTCGTTGGAGACGTCGTCGGTGTCGTCGTCGTCGGTGTCGGCGGCGCCGTCGTCGTCGTCGTCGTCGTCGCTGTCGTCGTTGGCGTTGGTGTCGTGGCCAAGTGCCATCTGGTACCCACCGTCACGGTCTTGTCTTAAGAGGTCTTGCGACCAAGTTGCGGGTGGGAGGGTGGGATGTTTGCACGAGCAGTGGAGAGGACAGCTTCAAGTTGAGCAAGTGATTGATTGCACCCAATAGGCTGCACCATATTGCGTGACATGGGTTGCGCTACATACCACCTAGATTGCACCACGTGGGTGGCACCGCGGGAGTGGCACCCCTTACATTGCGCTGGGCGTGCAGCACAGATAGCGTACGACATACACAGACTGCAGTACGTATACCCCATCCCATAGATCGGCCCCCACAGACTGCACCATACACAGTTAGCTCGAAGGATATTGGACGTCGAGAGTGCAAGATTCCACTGTCTGGGCCACTCGCTGGTCAACATGTGATTCCTGCTTGTGCCTGTCCCACGCTCTGCTTCTGGGATGTCCTGAAATCGCCTCAGGACTGCCCCCATTGCCCGCGAGACTGCTCAAAACAGCCACAAAGTGCCGCCAAAAGCCTCCAAGATGCAGCCGGGATCGCACAGGATGGCCGAACCAGGCCCCAGGATGGTCCCAATGTTGCCCCCGAAGAGGCACTCATTCAGCATGGGCACCACAAAGGAACCCTAGGATGCCTAATGTTTTGGCCTGATGCACACAACTAGTCCGTGACGCCCTAAGACGCCCCCGCAGGTGGGCCCCAAGATGGCAACACAAGCTGCTCCAACGCGGCTTCACATTGGTTCAGCATGGGGGCCCGGCGGAGAAAGGACGCAGCCCCTCGGGATAACCCAGCTTGGCCATCTCTCGCACCGCGTACCTAGGGAGCAATCATCTGCAGAAACCTCACCTCCCGAAGGTCTGCGCGGATTTCTTGGATCGGCGCTAGGTTGTTGCTTCGTGGCGTACTAACGCCGATGCGCGGACCTAAGAGAAATTTCGTTTCTACAATTCCTGTTGTTCTTTGGGTGAGCATCGTTTACTAGTGGCTGATTATCCCCCTAGATGGGGATCTGAGCTGCTCCCTCTGGCTTTCGCATGGGGCAGCCCCAGATTGGGGGGTGCGATGGTGGGGCTGAGATGCCATGGCCCATTGGGGATGGGGATCGCTTAGACGATTCTGATCTGGGGAAACCAAAAGGTGTCCATACCGCTACTCCCCGGACCTCTCCCGGGGCGCGCTCTGACCATGATCTCGAGGCGAATCCAGCGGTTGCGACAAGGGCCTCCCAGGAGGCCCTAACAAGAAAAACAATGGGAAGGGTAGCCTTAGGTCGAGAATGTCCCCCTACATGCGGGTTGTGGACAAAAATAAAAAATAGTGCAAACAAAAAACCAACATGCTCAAACATTGTCAAATCATCGTCCCCAGACTATTGCTTGACCTTTTTTGATGTTTCCTCCTGTCGAGGGACAGGCCCGACTTCAGGGTAGCCGTATGGATACCTTCCCCTCCTCTGCTGACCGAGTACCTCTGCAGGCAGCTCGGTGGCACGAAGGGCGTCGCGAAGAGCTCCTGCAGCGCCAGCACGTCCGGCGCCAGGCTGCCGGCGCGCCGCTCGCCGATCGCCTGCAGGAAGTGGAGGAGGCGGGGCAGGGCGTGCCGCCCCTGCCCGGAGCCGAACGCGGAGGCGCCCCAGGGCAGGACGTTGAGGTTGAATGATCGCACAGAGGAAAGGAGCCCATTTCTGTCTTCCTGGGAGCACGACTGTGGTACACCACCCCCACAAACCAGCTGGTCCGGCACAAGACCACGGAGGGGTGGCTGTGCGCAAAAATGGCACCCTTGGGGGAAACGATTTTTGTACACAACCCCTGGCTCGAAGTGCGCGCGCGGGGGCGGTGGCCACAAATCGGCCCCCGTTTTCCAGACGGAGTAAGCCCAGACGGAGGTCACTCCGTGCGGACTTGCTCCGCACGGGCCTGCAGTCCTGTCAGGACAGGCTGAGTCCAGACCGAGTAAGCCCAGACGCCCAGACGGAGACCGAGCACTACGCACGGACTTACTCCATACGGACTCAGCATCCTCGGATTCCCCTACTATTCGCGACAGCGCCCGAGACCGTCCCATCACCCCCCACCCCCTCCCCCTCCCCTGGTCACGTCACGACCCACGCTGGAGCCGTCTGGGAAGTAGCTATTCTCAGCCATTCCCAGACGACGCTGGCGCGCGAATCGTGATGCTACTGGCCCAGTCCCCCCCCTTCCCCCCTACTCTGGCCAAGCCCGCTATCGCGCGGGGATGCGAAATGGTCTCAAGAGAAAACGGCACAAGCATAAACTTTCGGAGCTCCGCTCAGCAATCTCTGGTCGGCGCTGCCCCCCCCCTTGGCGGCGTCGACCCTGGCGCGCTTCGCGCGCCAGCGAGGGGGGTCCAGCGCAGATCCAAGACATCTGGGCGGACCTCAAGACGTTCCAAACATTCAAACAACCATGTTTATGCCGTTTTGTCTTCCTCGATAGCAGCCGCAGCCCGTCCAGCCCGGGCGCGACGTCCTTGTGGAAACCACATATGGGAACTCCACCCCTGCTAGTCTGAGGTCAAGAACACTGGCTCGGGGCTTAGATTTTGAACCTTACCTGCCGCCGTGTGTACACCAACGAGGCTGTCCGATATCCCAGCGTCGACCGGATCTGCAGGGGTCGGGGTCGTCGGGGCCACACAGCCGTGTGGTGAGAGGCCGCCGCGGTGACCTCGGAATCCCCAACGACCATACCGCGCGGTCCGTCACCTCACAGTTTTGGGACCTCGGAGGCCCCAGTCGCCCGAGACGTCCTCGGAGGACGACCCAAAAACCTTGCGGTGACCCCGAACCCCCACTGACTCACCACGCGGTCGGTGTGGTCACCACACCGCTTGGGGGCCCCAGGGGTTTGCAAATGGACGCAGAGTCCTGCAGCTCGGAGTAGTCCGTGGCCGCCATCTCGTCGTTGGAAAGCTGCCGCAGGCTCCCCTCGAAGAGGCGAGCTCTCTTCAGGGCCTCCTCGAACGTCAAGGAACAGAGCTCTGTCAGCACGCGCCGGTGTGGGTTCCGCCGGATCGACGACTCCCGCTCCTGGTTCCCGACGCCGTGCTTCTGGAACTGATCGCGCATGTAGTCGTTGAAGAATGGGCGCGAGAGGTGCTCCAATAGCTCCTCGGCGCCGAACCAGCGTACCTCCACAAACTTGGGGCACATGGGCGCCCGAGAGGCCTGCTTCATGGAGAACAGCTCGTCGCCCATAGCCTCGCAGAAGTCAAGCTGCACCTTCACCATTCTGTTGAGGGTCTCAGCGAAGGTGTTGCCGACAGTGGCGTCCATGGTGCATACAAAATGGAACACCTTGGCTGCCGCCCTCGTAGTCTCATCGTGGGGGGTCATGCTGAACAGCCTGAGGTGTAGCGCGGCCCGTTCCAGCAGCACCCGCTCCGCGACGTGCGACCGCACGTACCGCTGCGAGCCCCTCACCCCCGCGGCTGTGAGCCCAGCGATCATGGTGTCCAGGGGTGTCCTCTGGCCTGGGGCGTAGAGGCCGCCCAGGATGCGCACGTCGCAGGGGCAGTTCATCAGCACTGGCTCGGAGGACTTCTGCGTCATGAGGTAGTTCACCATCGTGCTCTGGGCACACAGCACCTCCATCTTGCCCTCGGCGTTGGTCCGTATTGGGATGATGGTAGCGCCCCAGGAGCGCCCCTTGCGGCTCTTGCTCGGTGTCCCTTGGCGGCGCGGCTCCACCGGGCGGCCGCGACATGCTGGTGAGTCTGTCTCGCTGGGCGCCTCGAAATGGATCCTGCGAGGCGCCCTGAGCACAAGGTTGACAGTGGCCGTCGAGGCGTGCTGCCCAAGAGAACTGCCATGGTCGCTGGTTTCCTCTCTGGAGTCCGAGCCGGTCAGGCCATCAGACGAGACCTCTCTCTGAAAGCTGCCTGTCCGACCGACGGGCGGCGGCACCGACCCAACCATCAAGCCGTTCAGCTAGGCCCGATCATGTGACATAGCAAGGAACCGAAAGACTTCACCCGGTGATCATGACCTTGCCGCACCCCGTGGAACCGCCAAACCGGGGCATGACACGCAACGGAAGCGGCGCTTGAGCTGGGCTACGGTCGAGCGTCCACACGCATTGTAAGCATCATTATTGCGACGCGATAGCGTAAGTGGGTACACTGGCTCGCCGAAGGCGCTGGCTCCTCCGTCTCACCGCAATCGGTCGCGTGATAACCGACACCGAACCAAATTACCCGAGACGTACACACACACACCTTTCTCCACGCGAGGCGACGATGTATATGAACAACTTGGATCTGGGTCACTACCTACCGCCTCCTCTGCAGCTCCTACAAGCCCACGAAAGTGGCGACGGTTGCGCAATTGGCAGCCTCCCAGAAGCCGCGAGTCTCGCGTGACTGGCGCCTCCGCCTCACCTCCCAGGAGCCAACGAGAGTGGCGACAATTGCGCAGGTGGCAGCCTCCCAGGGAGCCGCGAGGTCTCGCGTGACTGGCGCCTCCGCTGCACCCCCCGAGAGCCCACAGAAGTGGCGAGAATTGCGCAGGTGGCAGCCTCCCAGGGAGCCGCGAGGTCTCGCGTGACTGGCGCCTCCGCTGCACTTCCCCGGAGCCCACAAAAGTGGCGCCAATTGCGCAGGTGGCCATCTCCCATGAAGCCGCGAGGTCTCGCGTAACTGGCGCCTCCGCTGCATCTCCCTGGAGTCCACGAAAGTTGCGACAATTGAGCAATTGGCAGCGAAGTCTTGCGTGACTGGCGCCTCCGCTGCACTTCCCGGAAACCCACGGAAGAAGCGACGATTGCGCAAATGGCAACCCCTCAGGGAGCTGCGAGGTCTCGCGTGACTGGCGCCTCCGCTGCACTTACCAGGACCCCACGGAAGAGGCGACAATTGCGAAGTTGGCAACCCCTCAGGGAGCCGCGAGGTCTCGCGTGATTGGCGCCTCCGCTGCACCTCCCAGGAGCCAACGAGAGTGGCGACAATTGCGCAGGTGGCAGCCTCCCAGGGAGCCGCGAGGTCTCGCGTGACTGGCGCCTCCTTCGTGCCTTCCAGGAGCTCGCGAAAGTGGCTTGCCGCCGCAATCGCCGCGACGCCCTCAAAGACCGACCCAGAAGTTTCGAGGCCAGAGGTCGCCCGACGAGCAATGTCTGCGGGTCGTGGGCGAATCCCGGGTGGGTCGTTGGTGGAACCTACCGATGAAATGGTAACACCGACGGAGTAAACGCTCATGAGATGAGTGGCCTTAGGTGGCCGAAAAAGCAAACTGTACTCTGGCACACGCATTGGTCGTGCCTGCATTCATTGCGGAAGACGTTGATGGGGCTCACGAGTTCGAGTGTGGCCGTATGGCGAGAGTGTAGCACGTTGGGGTTCTAGAGCCACTACATGAGACGTGGTCTCTGGCTTTGCGCCTGGTAGGTGGCATGGGCTGCAGGGGCATGGTTAGAGCATCCGATACCAATCGAATAGGAGCTCGGACCTGCTGCCAGTCGAAGTCCCCAGTGAGCCCTCTCGATTGCCCCCACTCTCAAAACCAACCAACAACTACGCGTTGACCGAACTCTCGCAGGCAGCACGTTGCCAGTCTTTTGAGCCGCGCATGACCGCAGCGACCAGCCGCCCCCGACCCGAAGGCGAGAAGATGGGAAACCATTGTGGAATCGGGGGGACGTCAGAAGGGGCGGGTCTTCTCAGAAGGCTCGAAAGGCCTCCGGCCTTCTGACAAGTGTTCTGTCCGCCGCAGTGCCCCCCGGCACGCTGAGGCGTGGGAGGATGCCAAGTCCTTTCTGGCCAGGCTTTGTGACTCTTCTGGAGGGCTGCCCACCCTCTCGGGACGCACTCAGCTGCATGCATCGTCGCCTCTTCCCGAAGCTCCCTGGGCTGCCTCCGTCCTCCCTGGCGCTCTGCGAGGCGTCCGCGACGGCCCACTTCGGCCTCAAGACGGCCCAAGATAGCCTCAAAACGGCCCACGAGGCCGTCGAGGCGTCCCAAGAGAGTCCAAAGAGCCGTCCCAGGAGGACCTCGAGAGTCCCAAGAAGCCCCCAAGAGGGCCCAAGACGGCCCAGGAGGGCCCAAAGACAGCCCCAAGAAGGGCCCAAAAGGGCTCAAACACAATTCAAGCATTCCGCCCCAAAAGGGCTCAGGCGGCCCCACGACAGCCAAAAGAGGCCCCCGAGAGCCCCCCGAGAGGGTCCCGAGCGGGTTCCAAGAGGTATTTCCTTTAGTTGTTTCAATGTTTTGGGGGCTCTCCCCTTTTCGAGCTCCCGACGCCCCGAGACGGCCCTGGAGGTCCCCAAGACTCCCCCGAGACGGCTCAAGAGGCCGCAAATAAAGCTCCACGACGGCCCACAAGGGCTCCAAGACGGCCCAAGAGGCGCCCAAGACTGCCCAAGAGGGCCCCAAGAGTGGGAACTCGAGCCTTCTGCCCCAAGAGGCCTCCAGCAGGCCCCGTTGCCTTCTCGAATAACTGCCGCCCAGAATGCTGCGCTGGCACGGTGGCAGAATTGCCAGAAGCAGCTGGATAAGCCTTCCCCGGAGACATAGACTGCTTCTGAGAAGGCTAGAGGGCTTCTGAAAGCCCCGACCGCCTTCTGAGAAGACGTGCCCCTGTCACTTCCCCGCAGGCGCGCCTCCGAAAGCACTTGCCAAACATATCCTGATGCTATGTCGATGCATCGCAGACGCCTAAAGCTACGCCCACACACGCTCAGTGTACTTCTCGCTGAGACGGACATCCAACACTTCGAGAGATCCTCGGGGGCCAACTACGTCTCTCACCCGGTGGACATGGAGTGCCCCCCTGGCGCGGAAGACGGAATATGGAATGAGGAAACGGACCAGGAGGAATATCAGCCAGCGTTGACTCCAAATAGAGAAGAGGACAGGAGGAGGACGAGAGGAGGATGGGAGAAGGACCCAAGGAGGACGGGAGCAGGACGGGAGGAAAACGGGAGGAGCAAAATCAAGCAAGCGCAAGCAAGCAAGCGGAAGTAAGCAAGCAGAAGCAAGCAAACGCAAGCGAGCAATAACAAGCAAGAAAGAGCCAGCGATCAAGTGCAAGCAAGCAAGGGCGAGCAAGAGCAAGCAAGAAAGAGCAAGCACGCAAGAGCAAGCAAGTGCCTTTGGAAAAAGGGGGGCCACTGGAAAGGCATAGCCATCGGAATTAGGGGGGCATAGTAATTAGGGGGACGGACCAATTAGTAATTAGGGTGTGCGTTAGAACTGCTATAGGGCAAGCCTACTTGGAGAGCAACCAAATTGTCGACTCTGCTTGCGGAACCGCGCTTGCCAGTTTGAGAGGCGACGCTAGGGGGGAACAGCTAAGACTCTCGAGGGGGGACATCGACCTGGAGTCGCCGAGACGTCGCCGATAGGCACATTTACGTTTGGGGGAGCAAAAAAATACCGATACCGCTGCTCCCCGGACCTCTCCCGGAGAGCGCTCTGACCAGCATTTCGAGGCGAACCCAGCGGTGGCGACGAGGGCTTCCCAGCAAGCCCGAGAAGGCGGCAACGAGCGAGGCGTAGCGGCATGGGCACCTTATCCTCCTCTGAGCGTTGACCGCGACAAGGACCCTCATCGATCACAAACGCAGCGCGCGCACCTGTCGCGACCGCCCCTGCGAGGACGCCAGCACCCCATCGTTGGGCGCGGCGCCCCCAGGGGGCGGGCCGCGCCCGTGGGTCTGCGCACTCGCCGCCCAGGGCGCGGCGCCCACCCCCTGGCAGGGTCACCTGGGTGCCGATGACCCCCAGGGGCGGTTGAGGGTGGGAGAAAACGCCGCACCCCCAGCTGCCAGCGCCGATGGCTGGCAGCAAGGAAAGGAACCTGCGCGGCGCGCGCGCCGCGCGCGCGCAGAGCCGCCGCGACGCGGGATCCCAGCGGCGGCCAAGCGAACAAACAGCCAGCGCCGGCAGCGCCGCGCGGCGCGGCGCGCGGCCCCCCCCCTCGCAGGCCGCTCCTGCGCGGCGTCGCGCTCGTCGGCGGACATGGCCGCCGACGCCCCGCGCTCCCGTTCGCTATCGCGCGCGCGCGTTCGTGCCTGTCAAGCAAACGAGCTTGTGGGCCTACCACAAACGCAGCGCGCGCACCTGTCGCGACCGCCCCTGCGAGGCCGCCAGCACCCTATCGTTGGGCGCGGCGCCCCCAGGGGGCGGGCCGCGCCCGTGGGTCTGCGCACTCGCCGCCCAGGGCGCGGCGCCCACCCCCTGGCAGGGTCACCTGGGTGCCGATGACCCCCAGGGGCGGTTGAGGGTGGGAGAAAACGCCGCACCCCCAGCTGCCAGCGCCGATGGCTGGCAGCAAGGAAAGGAACCTGCGCGGCGCGCGCGCCGCGCGCGCGCAGAGCCGCCGCGACGCGGGATCCCAGCGGCGGCCAAGCGAACAAACAGCCAGCGCTGGCAGCGCCGCGCGGCGCGGCGCGCGGCCCCCCCCCCCTCGCAGGCCGCTCCTGCGCGGCGTCGCGCTCGTCGGCGGACATGGCCGCCGACGCCCCGCGCTCCCGTTCGCTATCGCGCGCGCGTTTGTGCCTGCCAAGCAAACGAGTTTGTGGGCCTACCACAAACGCAGCGCGCGCACCTGTCGCGACCGCCCCTGCGAGGCCGCCAGCACCCTATCGTTGGGTGCGGCGCCCCCAGGGGGCGGGCCTCGCCCGTGGGTCTGCGCGCTCGCCGCCCAGGGCGCGGCGCCCACCCCCCGGCAGGGTCACCTGGGTGCCGATGACCCCAATGCCGACGGTAGCCAGGGAGCCGCCAGGGGAGGGGGCGCGAAACCCAATGCCGAGCCAGCCACCGCTGGCGCGCGCGCTCCCCTGACGCGAGAGCTATCCCGGCACGCGCGCAGGTGCTTGGCCTGTCTGCAGCGCCTCCAGCATGGCGTCGCCCTCGAGCTCTTCTCGATCCATATAGTCGAGGAACGCGCCCGAGCGCCAGCAGCACGCACGGAGAATCTCTGCGAGCCTACCACCGCTGCGGCGTAAAGTCTCCGCGTGGCCACGCCGGAAAGACTTCGCGCAAAAGTGCGCAGAGTCGCGCTCGCCGGCCTCATGGGCGAGCCGCCGCGCCAAGCTGAGAATGCACCCGCGCGACAGGTGCGCAAACGGCGCGGTGCCCGCCGGCGCGCGGTGGAAGAAGGCCCCGAGGGCGTGCACGGGGCAAGTGGTTGTGCACGCCGCGCACCAACAGCTGCGCACGATGCGCGAGGGATGGTCGACGTGTTTGCGTCTACTCAAATGCAGGATGACACGGCCGCCGGCGAAGAATACAACCGCGCGTGCCTTGCGCGCGCGACAATCCTCGTCAGAGAAGGAGAAGGACGCGGCCATGCGCGGGTCACCCTTCTCGATTCGGAGGCCCTCCGACGGCGCTCTAAGAGCGAACGCGAAAGCCGCGACGAAAAGGCCCCGAATGGCCTCGTCGGGCAGGCGCGCAAGCATGCCGACTAAGAGCCGATGGCCGATCGCGGGCTTCGGCGCCAGCTCTTCGCGCAGGCGCTTGCGCACGGCGGCGCGCGCGCCGCTCGCTTCCGCGCTGTCGAAAGCACTGCAATCAAGGCGCAATAGCCTGCAGGCCTTGAGGGCGTGCGCCTTGTAATTGCCAAACGTCTTGCGATTGCGAAAATGCGTGGCCCACAGCGCGAGCTCAGAAGGGGGGGGCGGCAGCGCTTCGTTGTCGCGCTTGCCCAGAACCTTGGCGGCGAACGCGAAATAATTCCGCGGGGCGCTGCGCCGCGTGCCGAAGGATGCCGGCGCCCCGCCCACGAGGGCCGTCGCGCGCGCGGCCTCCAGCCGCGCGGCCCGCTGCGCATCCGAAAAGTGGCCGTGCGCCTCTGCCGCTGCCCGCGCGCTCGCCGCCGGCCCAGCCCGCGAGCGGCCGGCGCACTCGCGCTCAAAGTGCACGGCGGCAGGATAGGCGCGGGCTAGCGCCGCGCGCTGCGACGGCCTTGCACGCGGTGCCGACTCAGAGGAGGAGTCCGAGCTCGACGACGAAACAGACTCGGCATCGAGGCGCGCAGCGGGCTGGCGCGGTCGCGCGGCGGCAGAATGCCCGACCACGCTGGCTGCCGCGCCCCTCGGCGGCGGGCCGGGCGGAGGGCGCGCCGTGGCCATCCGCTCCAGGATCCGCGCCGCCCCCCCTGATAACGCCTCCGTGCGAACGCGGCGCGGCCGCGCGGTCGCTATGGAAACGCGCGCGAAGAGGGCGCCTCGAAGCCGTTCCACGTCCGAACGGGCGGCAACGCCCCGACGCAGGATACGCGGAAAACGTCGTTCTGCCGCATGCACGCCGCGACCTCCTCCGCGGCCGCGGCCGCGCTCCCGCGGCACCATTGCGCGACTTCGTCAAGCAAGCAGGGAGCGGCGGACATTGGCCTCGCGACCGCTTAAGCGCGCGGGGTGCACTAACCGCCGAGCTGCAGCGGGTGCGCGCATCCCGCTGCACGCCCGCTCCGGGTCAGAGCGTGCGGAAATCCGCCGAGCCGGTGGTCGCGCGCGCGGCAATGCCCGCGCCGCGCGCGCACGCTGCCCGCTACGCGAGCTACCCTGGCAGCTGGAGCCGCTGGAACTGCGGCCACAGCGTCGGCCAGCGCCACGTGGCACCCAAATCGTCGAGTAAACGATACTCCTCGCGGCTGGGCAGATCGGCAATGTTATCGTCTTCGCGCGCGCGCAGAGCGCGCGTGTCGACGGCGGTGCGCGGCGGCGCGAGCAGGCGCCCGTAGCGACTCGGTCCACCAGCACCGACAAGTGCATTGCGCACGCGGTCGCCCAGAACGCGTGAACGATCGCGCAATGATCTGGCGCGGCCGCCGAGCCACGTCGGAAGGCGCACTCAGCGACCGTGTTGTCACTGTAGATGCGGACGTCGCGGCCGCGGATCCTGTTGCCCCACGTGCACATTGCCAGCCCAACTGCGAGCATTTCCAGCCCGACAATCTGGGCGTCCCGCCGTTCGCGGAATTGCCTTGCGCGCGCTGGCAGGCGATGCGCCAGCGCGGGCACGGGCACGTGAAGCGATGCTGCCCCGCCGTAATAGAGGCCCCGGCGGTTCCCACGCCGCATGCTCGACGCGCCCGTCGATGCAAACCACGGCCGCAAGATTCGGCGGCGTGCCGCGCGCGTCCGCGAGAATGACGACAGGCGGTCGCTCGTCGCCGACGGCCCAAGCCCTGGTTTCCACTATATCATGGGCCAGGACTTCCGCCCACCAGCGCAGGCAGCACATCGCGTCCGCGGACAGCTTTGCCGAGCGGCCGTGCGCGCGCGCGAACAGCGGTCGCAGCATCGCGCGCCCCAACCGGCGGAACTGATGCGATGCACCCCAGGAGAGCGCGCCCGCCAGCTTGGACGCCGCCCCGGCGGTCAGCTCCTCCGCTGCCAAGGCGGCGCGGACCCGCTCGAGCCACTTGGCACGCTTGTCCGCGGATGGGCGAGCGCGGAAGCCCCAGCGATCGACCTGGCCGCGCGGCCCAAGGGCGCGCCACAGACGCGCGCGCGCACGCTTGGCGGGCGCCTCGATCTGCAAGCCCAGGATAACGAGAGGGCGCCCGCACTCTGTCTTACGGTCCGCGATGGCCGCGTCGCCGAGCAGAGCGCGGACCACGCATTGCAGCGCGTGCCTTGCCTGCGCGCGGACACGCCGGCTCAGCGCGGCCGCCGTCGCGCGCGACGGCGCGGGCGGCGCCAGCGACGCCCGTTCGACGCTAAACAAATCGTCCGCGTATCGCAGCAACGCAACCCGCAGCAGCTCGCGGCAGATGCGGGTGATCAACGCGCCGACCCGTTCCCAGTTGCGCACGCTTCTCACTGACAAGGCAAGAGGGCCCCGCGGCGGCGCGCGCGGGTCGCGCGCCCGCCTGCGCCGAAAGGAAGAGCCGTGTGCTGCGCGATGAGCACTGCATCGCCGTGGCGGAACGCGACCCACGCGAAGTCGCGGCCCCGTGGGCACAGCGGCGCGCGGCGAAAAGCCGCGTCGATGTCTGCCTTGAACAGGAGGACATCTTCGCCGCCCGATGCTTCGTGCACCGTCTGAGCGACGTCGTAGAGCGAATCTATGGTGTCGCGCCGCCACTTCTCCTGCGCGCGGCGACGCGCCGGCCTGCACCTCTGGCGGCGCGTGCCCTGCGGCCTGGGGCTGGGTCGCTCTGTTGAGGTCGGCGGCGCTGCAATCGTCCACCGAACGCACCTGCCGCGCGAAGGGCGGCGACTGGGGCGCCGGCGCCAAGGTCGGCGCGCCTTGGGCGAGCCGTCCTCCTTGATACCCTGCGGGGCGCCGAACCGCGGGATGACGACGGCCCCGTCTGGCGGCGGCTCGGCCGCCGCGTCGCGCGGCACTGTCAGTCGCCCCAGCGCGGCGCCCGAACGCGCGGTCGCGAGAAGCGCGTCGGAATGCAGATCACGTCTCGCGCGCTTCAGAACTTTGTCAGCAGACGTCTTGGCGCCTGCGACGCTTCGACACATCGGCGGGTCAGCTCCGCACGGCGCGCTTCGGGGGGGCCTGCCCTGAGCTCGTCTGCCGAGACGCAGCGATGGTGGTCGCGCGGCTCGCCCACTCCCGAGCGAGGGAGAACCCCGATCAGGGGGGCGCCCTGCCGCGGCCGCGCGGTTCGCCGAGGCGGGGCAAACGCGAGCTCGCCTGACGGAAAAATTCGACCACCTCGGCATCTGGATGGTCGCATTCGCGCGCTAACATGCGCAGCAGCGGGCCCTTTACGGACTCGGACACCCGCGCGACTGCGGGGTCGCAGCCGCTGAACCACCGCGCACATTCGCCAGAGGCCCGGAGCTGAGCGCCCATCTTTTCGACGCGTCTCGTGGCCGCCTCCCGATGAGCAATGACCTGCGCGACGCGGAGCGCGCGCGCGTGCGCGCGCCAGCCGTGCGCGAGAGGGGTGGTGGGGGGGGGGCCGCGCCTCCTCGGCGGGCGTGGACGCGGCCCACTCGGCGGCCGCGCGCGCGTCTTCCCCGATCGAGGACTCGCGCGCGAAGCCCTCGCGGCCCAAGTCAAGAACTGACTGCATGGAACGCAGCTTGGCCTCATCGCCGGCGCTTGCGCGCGCCCTCTTGGCCCAGCCGCCGGCGTCGCCCGCGCCGGCGCGGGCGCGTTTCGAGAGACGCGTCATCTCAGAACGCTGCGAGGCGTCGCGCGTCACGAGCTGGCACTGAATTGCGCGCGAGATGCAAGAGCACGCGCCGGCGCGGGAAACGAGAGCACGCGCCGGCCACAATTGTTCGACGCGAAGCACAAACGCGCCCGCGCTAGGTCCCGGCGGGCTCGTCTTGGCGAGCGGGCGGCCCGAAGCGGCCCGCTCCCCCGCGGCCCGAAGCCCAGGCTGTCACTGGCGTACGGGCGGCGGCGCCTGCGGTGGCGCACCATTCTCGCCAGCGCGAGCGTTTCCACTTGGCGTTGCCCCATCCGCTCTCCGCCGGGCGCTTCCCCCACGACGTCTCGCCGCGGCTCCCGCTGCTGCCCGCGGCGGTCCACGCGCCGTCCGCGCCCTTGGCCCGCCGGGGGGGCGTGCCGCCGCCGCTCTTCGAGGGCTTGCTCGCGGGCTTAGCCGACCTGTCGGCGCGCGCGGCGAACAATCGCACGGGCGCGTCGCCGCGGGCGGGCCTTTCGGCGCGGTCGCGCGCCTGCTCGGCCGCGGCCAGCAGCTCGCGGCAAACCTTCCGCGCCGCCACGTCTACCTGGCGGCGCGGGCAACGGGCCGCGGGCCCCTCGCCGCGCGCGCGCGAGAAAGGCGCGCGCCGCGAAGTCCGGCACTCCCGCGGCTGCTTTCCCGGCCCAGTCCTTGCGGCAGCTCTCGTCGTAGAGCATGCCCAAATGGGCTTTCCGGCCGCCCAGGCGCGCGTTCATGGCCACCTGCGCGGACGAAGCGGCGCGCGACAGCGTGGCACCGATGGCGCGCGCGGGGGCGCCCTCATGCAAATTTGCTTGTGGGCCATGGCGGACGCGTACGCCAGTTGGCCTGTCACGGCTGCACCAATTGCGCAACTCGCAGGAAGCCGAAAGGCGGCGTTGCGAAGCACGCTGCGCCGAACGCGCGCGGGGTACGCGTCGATGGCCATGTGCCACTCGTTCCATGTCAGCGCGTCGGCGCCGGCGGCGGGGGGCGCGTCCAACGGCGACCAATCGCGCAAGTCCGCGCACGCGAAAGGGTTGGCCACCCCTTTCTTCTTCGGCTTCGCGACCACGCTCGCAAGGGCGTCGACGCCCGCGCTCCTGACACCGCCGCGCAGACGTCGCGCCCGATCCAGCAACTCGCCTGGGCCACAATGCCGGCGGGAGATCGTCGAGCTTGATCTCTTTCAGCCGTTGCCCCACGTCCACGTGGGCGACTGGGGCTTCCTCTCTCTTGAGCAGGCGGGAAAGTTCGCCTATCGCGTCGCCCCCATTAGCGGGGCCCGCGCCGCCC